AGGCTTCTATGGGCACAGCCTTGCTGTTTTCTTTTTTTAAATATCAAACCGGCCAATGTGTTTAAATGGTTTTGTCTGTTGCCTTCTGTCCTCATGTTTCACAAGTACAACCAGTGAATCATGTACAATCTTATTTACTTTTCTTACAACACAGAAGTGAAGGCCTCTTGTGGGAGTCACTGCTTAAAGTCAGAGAAGGGCTTCAGTTTTAAAGAGCATCTCCAGCAGAACACCCAAATTCAGCTAAAAATGTCAACCTTCATTTCATGCAAAACTTCACAGCCTCAACCTCTGCTACGATGCCGAACAGGGCTGTGCACATTAGGGTTTGCTTTACAGGTGCCCACCTCACACACTGTGTTCAGGTAAGTTTGTACCCTTGCAAGTTGCACCCTTGTTTGCACTTTCTTGCTGTTGTGGTGTATGGTAGGGTCAGCACGCACCTCCCTGACCCCGCACCCACTGGCAGAGGCTTTTCAGCACCCAAAATGGGCTTTCTCCGGGCCTTAGTTAACTTCCTGATAAATGCAGCAGCATTAATTATTCATCAAACTGCTGATAAGGCAATTAAATTTCTCTCCCTTTGAAGGTAGCGGTACTTATTTCTATAATGAGGGAAAAGGAGGAGGCTGAAGAAACAACTACAGGTGTGCAGAGCAAGGACTTCTCATCTGCTGCTCTTATACTGTGCCTGAAAAGCCTGTCTTTTATGGAGATGTCAGTAGCAATCTCACTTGCTTTTAAGAGAAACAAGTGCCTTTAACCATTTAAACCCACTTAAACATAGGGCTTTTGTTCTTTGATTAAAGACATAAAGCAGAGAGAAAATATCCCGGCTGCCCATGAGCATCCTGCTGGGTGGGGGTCAGCAGGGGCCAGCACGGGTCATGAGTGCTGTGCCACCCTCCTGACCCCAGCCCGTGACAAACCCATCCATGCAGCCCAGGCTGGGAACTGCAGCCTTCACTGCAGGGTGCAGCAGGGAGAAATGCCCTCACCTCTGGGTGATGCCCTACCCCATCTCACATGCCACATCCCAGAACAGCTCAGGAACCATTTGCCTGGTGCTTGAAGCACTGGCTGCACCAGCTTTGTCCCTTCACATGCTGGGCAGCTTTGTGCAGCCCACCAGAGTTACAGGGAGATGTGGGATGCAGGAGAGCAGGAATTTGGGTGCAGCCATCCAGCCCCCAGCCCCCAGTAATGAACTTTCTGGGCACCAGATCTGAGCAGCCTGAAGTTCTACCAGCATCTAGGAATGCTGTTTTTGCTCCCTGATTTTGATACCGATATCACCATGTTGGTTAAATAGAAAAGAAAGCAGAGAGACTGCTTTCACATGTTCACAGTGCTTCCAGCCTCACTGTAAATAGCCCAGGAGAAAGGTGGTGGTGCCTACCTGCAGGCACTGGGCTGCCCACATGCTGACTGTGAGCCATGTCATTAAGGGAACAAGGTATCCCTGACATAACAGTGTTATTTTTGACATTAAAAATGTGATAAGGTTAAGGAGATTGTCTGGACCAGACTCAATTAGCTCATGGCTGGAGTGAAACCATGGAGGCTTTGTAGAGCAGGCTGAAGCACCACAACAGAGCTGCATAAAAGCCCAGAGACAGACACCCCATCTCCTTTCTTCACACTTTAAAGTTGTCTGCTGGCTTGTCAGATTTAAATCTGTTTCTTGTGCCATAGCTGGCTTGGAATTCATCTCAGCCTACAGCAGGAAACGTGTCAGCACCCAAAACTACAGCAAGAAGAAAGTTGTTCTGTGTCTGGGCAGGCCAGGAAAAGGAAAGATGGTGGCAAGAGAAAAAAAGCAGTCTATTTCAATTTCTATTTATCCCTCTAGCCTTTGCACAAGGCATCAGGGAAAGAGCATGGACAAAAAAAGGCTTAGAAATGCATCTCTCTGGCAGAGCTATGCTTGCTTAGCCCCACTCCACCAGAACACCAGAACACGTTGCCTGAGCTGGTGGTCTCTAGCAAGGACAATGCTACCACCTAGGCAAGGTCTTTTTGACTCACTGATTTATTGGTTCATGGACAAAAGGCAAAAATAAACTCCTGGAATCCCAGATCCCAGCAGGGGAGAGAAGAATTCCTGGTGTAGCTGCAGGACAGCAGTGTTGCAGGTGTGCTGCTGCGCTGCAGAGTAGCTAGCACTAAACCACACCTGTTGGTCATGAAGCACTAAGGAGATTACATGTCATGTAAAATAGATGTGGTGGTAATATGTCAGAAATAAAGCCATTTCCCTATGAAATACAGGAACATGGTATCTGCACTTGTCTACCGGACCTCACAGCACTGGATGGATGCCCAGGGATGTGGTGGAGAACATCCTACTTTGAGGTGCTCAAGAGAAGGGTAGATGTGGCACTGTGGGACATGGTTAGTCAGCATGGTGGTGATGGGCTGGCAGGTGGACTAGGTGATCTTAGTGGTCTTTTCCAACCTCAATAATTGTATGATTCTATTAATCTGGTTCGGGAACCATGTTGGAGTCAGCATATGAACCACATCACAACCTTCCACGTCTAACATCAGCATGACAGGGCTACAGCGAATGCCGTTCCCGCTGTCCCTGGGTCCTCCTGTAGCAGAGACAGAGGAGAATCGTGCAGGTGCAGGAAAGGTGCTGCTGCAGTTAAAGCAGACATGCCACCCGCAGTATCTTTTAGAGCCAGAGGCTGCAGTGTCCTGAGAGGCCACAGCACTGGCAGCCACAGCTGCGGGACTCTTCATGGTGTTGATAATGGTTGTTTGGAAGCCAGAAGGCACCACAAAGAGTCATAAAACTAGAGAAAACTGATGTCAAGGGAGGAGAGACGCATCCAGTCAGACCAAGAGAGGTGAGATGCTATTTGAAGTTTGTGCCTGAGCACTTTTGTGGAGAAGAAGCCTCAGCTACGCCCAGTCTTCTTCATGTGGGAGGGGATACAGAGCCAACATCTTGGGCTGCAACATGAAGCCAAGGAAGTTCAGCAGAGCCTGTGGTTTTGGCAGTGAGGCTGGTGAGCCTTGAGGCGAACTGCCCCCAGCAGAGGCTTCTTTGTCTCTGATGCTGTAATAGTCTCTTTTTCAGAATAGGCTTTAATCAACACAAGCCATTAATCTTAATTCTGGGGTAATTAAGCTTAATACAGGGTAACTGTGTGAAAATTAGTGGGCTGGGATGTACGGGAAGTCAGACAGGGTAATTCTCCCTGGCCGGACAGTATGCAAACCAGCTCTGTATCCTGATGTGAGCCCAAGGCTTGCTATGCAGCATTGGAAGAAGGCATGTCTTGCCTTAATAACCAGACAGCCTTCTGCTCTGTTCCTACAGAAGCTGGAGCACATTGCTCAGCTAGAAATGGCACTGGATGATGAAGAGGAGGCTCTACAGAATTTTTTGCTGCACTGCTGCTGATTTCCATTGTGCATCCAGCAGGCCAAGTGAAGTCTGCAGGGTGAAGCATTTGAGCCTGAAGCTGCATGAAGAGGCTCCCTCCCCCCGGCAGCCTGCTGTGCCCCAAGTAACTGCAAAATCAGCTCTTGGGGAGCAGTGTCTGCATAGGCAGATCCAGGACTTCTGGACATGTGCCTGGCAGTGGCTGCATGAGGAAAGTTCATCTCGAGTATAAATGTCTCCCTAGCCAAGGCGTCCTATGGGCAGAGGTGGCAGCAGCCATTGTCTGGATGTGAATGTCACTGCCCGTCACTCCTCTGCCTCGGCACAGAGCCCTGATTGGACCCTGCTGAAACCTTGGCATTCTGGGGAGAAAGGGATTTCTTTCTGCTTTCTGTCTGCATTGCTTCTGATTTTGTAGCTACTCCTATACCTAATGACAGTTTTTCAGCTCCTCATTAGTTTCAGCTCTTTCAAGTCTTCTCTTGGGCTTCAGAAGGGAGAAAATGCAAATGTCCCAAGTCTGGAAGAAATAGAGTCGGGCAGCCGCTCAGACTTGGCTCCTCATCTGAAGGCCAGAGCTGCGCTTCTGACAATGCAGCCCCCACCCAGTTCTGAATTGTAAGGGATCACGCCTTGCCCTAGGACCTTGGCTTATCCTGGGCTGACACTGAATTAAAGGGCATGATGTGTGGCTCACTACGTCCCTAACCTGCTGTCCTAGGGACAAGAATTACATCTGTACCCCTCTGACACACAGCGCTAGTGGAAGGGTTGCCCTCAACACAACAGGCAGAAATGGATCAGCCCTGATTTGGGAAGCTCATGCTGCTCAAAGTGAGTGGGGAAACAGCCTGTAGAAATCAGAGGCCCCAGGTCCTGTTCTCGATCCTGTAGGCAGCAAGTCTGAAGTGACTGAAGAGGGCAGAGTGCTGCAGGTATTATCCCTGTGAACAGTGGTTTAATGGTAATGAAATTAGGAAACAGACCAGTTTAAGAGCTGTCTCCTTAGCAAGTGTTAATCACCTTGCTACCGTCAACATCTGAATTTAGATTAGTATTAATTTCCACTAGCCAAGAATTTGTCAGTGAGGAGCCTTATTGTAACCTTTTCCAATGCAATTCAAGTGCCCCTACTGTTTGTGATAACTGCAGTGGCAACACAAACCTCATCTGTATTCCCCTTCCCCTCTTCTCCTCGCTCTGATCAAATCCTTCATTCATAGTTTTTCTACCATGCCAGGGTTTCTTGTGCAGCTCAGCTCTGAGTAAGTAGCTGTATGATAACAAAACAGTGCTGTCTTTGTTCTCGAAAAGCAGAGAAATGAGGATGTATAATCTTGAAAGGAGGAAGCTCACAATGAGAAGAAAGCCACGCACGCACTGTTGTGCTCAGGCACCAGCTGGATTGAATTTAGCAATGCTGTTCAGGGAAAGAGCAAAGAAAACAAATTCATTATTTTGTTTTACCTCCTCCTAATTGACCCAAAGCTAATCAGAGCTGATGGTGTTTCTGTGGAGTTCAGGTTAAACTGATGACATTCATCTGCTTTTGTGCTTTTACCTTATTTGCTGTGTTTGGCTCTTTTACTGCCTCTTCACACTTGTGCCCTGTGCTCACTCTTCCTGCCTGCGTGGCCACGATGGAGTTCTTCCTTTTGGGAGGCATCAGCTCTTCAATCACTGTTCCAGACAGCAAACCATCCCCAGATCTGTGCTTCCTCAAGGGAACCTTCTGCACTTCCTTTATCACATGGGCCCACCCTGACAGCCTGGCCAAGTGTGCTGCAAGGAAGCCTCTATCGTGTCTCTTCCTGGGTGGTTTCCAGCAAATACAGTCAATTCACCATGTTCACAGATCTGTGTGTCACCTTTAGGTATAAATATATAAAGACATGTATTCACTTCCACTGCAACTAGTGGCAACCTGCTGACTTCTGCAGGTGATGTTTGGTGTCTCCCACAAGGGCTGTATAAAATACATAGTTGATATGATATGACTGATATGATATGACATGACATGACATTAGTTGTTTTTTTTTTCTCTGTATACATAAATAAAAGCATCACTTCTGCAGTTTACAGGCAGGCACACAAAGGAGGGGGACAAACCTCTGTGTCTGGGAGCTGGCCTTTAGGGAGCCAAGAGCTGATCTGGGAAGCAGGGGAAGCGCACCACTGCTTTATTAGCCTGTAACCCTGCAAAGCCTGCCCAGACATTCAAGGCACACTGTGGGCAGGAAAGGGGGATGAAGAACAGGGGGAAACCAGTGCATGCATGTTTAATTTGAGAGCTTGCAAACAGACCTGGGGAATATTGCATTCCCTGCTCTGTTGAGTCCACTCTGTAGTCTACTCCACAGAATGCGCACTCAGGATAGATTCTCTTGGGAAGTTTGGTTTCTTCATCTGATGACAGAATGCTCAAGATGGCTACAGGGCAGTGAGCTGAGAGGGAAGGAGAGGCAGGGCCAGCCCAAGAGGGACTAGACAGCTGCAGAAATCACCCAGAGATGCTCTAGAGGAGTGGAGAGTGGATGCAGGAGAAGAGGCACTGAGAGTATTGAGTCTGGGGAGCTCAGTGAAACCAAGAAAGGGCTTACTGTACAAGGCAAGACCAGGAGAACAGAAGGTAGATTTGGGCTAGTTTTTTGGTTATTTTTGGTGGTGGTGGTGGGTTTTTGTTGTTGTTGTTTTTGATTTTGGTTTTTTGGGTTTTTTTTTTTCAGTTCAGTCCTTTTGTGCGTCCTGAAATAACTTTAGGAGTTCATTGCTCAGGTAGGTGCTGCAGTATAAGCTAGCTGTGAAGGCTGCTGTTGGCATATTCAGGGGTTGGCTGGGTAGATCCACCCCAAAGCCCTCGAGCCTTTGGAATCCCCTTGCTGCTGTTCTCCTTCCAGCTGATTTCTGTGGCCCTCTCTGTCTGCTTGCTTCAGCACTCAGCCCAGCCCAATGTGTGGGCTGGCCCTACCAGTGACCACAGTGGGAAGTTGGCTGTGGGGACCCCAGTGTTGCAGTGCCACTGCAGTGCTCAGCCTGAGTGGACAAGTCATAGAATCATAGAATCATGGAATGGCCTGGGTTGAAAAGTTTCAACCCCCTGCTACGTGCAGGGTCACCAACCACAAGATCAGGCTTCCCAGAGCCACATCGAGCCTGGCCTTGAATGCCTCCAGGGATGGGGCATCAGGTCTCCTCTCTGGGCTCTCAGATTCTCTTTCATTGGTGGGATGAGGCCACCTTCTTCAGGGTCTTCAGGGTCCTTTGGGCCTCCTTCCTGCAGCAAAGTGGTTTTCCTGCACATTCCCTTCAGTGCGGTTGTGACACTGGAATTCATTACGACTGTTACAACTGCAGGAAATAAACAGCGGGAGCAGATGGGCTTCCTGGGAACAGAAATCCTGTCTCTCTCTCTCTGAACATCCTCAATAATTACAATCACATGCAAAAACACAGGAAGGAAGGAAAAAAAAATGCCAAAGGCTTGGGGCAGAACTGCCTTAGCACAGGAGTGAGCCCTTTCTGGTAGGTGGCTGCAGCATGGTGGGCCAGCTGCAGCTGGAAGGGACCCCCTGGTGCTCCTCTCTTCAGGAGCTGCTGTGTGAAGGTTTCCTCGCTGCCACCCCAAAGCACTTGATCTGCAATTCCTGTTGTTCTGTGCAGAAATGCCTCAACCACAACAAAAACGATGTGCTTTAATGTGGTATTTGCAAGACGGGAGTACTGCAGGAGGCTGTGGGGAAGCGATGGCCAATCTAAGGCATTAGGCACTGCTCACAGCTCCAAACCTTTTATCCAAGCTATCTGAGCACCTTGTACCAGAGGGGCTGTCGATTTGTTGGCTGTTCTCCAGCAAAGGCCCTTGTTTCTGTCTAGAATAGCTCTTCCCCGCAGCCAATACATATAAATTATGCTGGTCTCACGGAGAAGCCTGGCATATTGATGAGAAGGAGCAGCTCTGGAGCATCACCTGTGCAATGAGTTCCATTCAGGAGGGTACTGCAAAGGCTATTGTGCGCTATTGGAATGAGATGATAACTTATAACGGGGGAAGAGAGATTGCAAATAGTTCTAGGAGGTCTCACATGGGCTGTGAGGGCTTCTGCTTCTTGAGGAGGAAGGTGCTGGATCCAAGATGTAGGATGCAGTTTGGGCAAGTGCCTGCACATAACAAGATCCAGCTGCTCCGAGTGGGCTGCTGAGGGGACAGGTAATTACAGCTGGTAAAGAAGGGATTTTTCCAGCCAGTTTTGAATTTTTCTTGGAAGGAATATTAGAATGTGATATGTAAAAATTTCCATGGTAAAATTTGTATTTTATACTGCAATTTTGAGTTTTTATTCTGGGAATAAAATTTTTTAAAAAAAAGAAAAAAAAAAAAACACCAAAACCTAAAATCAATGTTATTTTTTTATTTCCTATGAAAGGACCAAATGTTCTATGGGTCAGGAACCAGTTTTCCAGCAACTCCCGTTGAAACTGGTGGCAATTTGCTGGCTTATGGAGGTGACATGTGGCATCTCCCACAAGGACTAAGACCTACAGTAACACCTCACCTTTACGTGAGAGTGTCTCACACCATATTTGCTCCCTGAGAAAATGGCACATCACCCGAAAAGCCCTTTGAAATGTGCTCCAGTCACCATTCAGCTATAAACACACACATGGTACTTGAAATTGCCAATGCAAATGAGCGTTGGTTTAAAAAGTTCAATTGTCTGTAGTGATAAATAGAAACAGACAGCTCCAAAACATGCAAAGATGCACAATCATCCTGGCAGGAGGTAGTTAATCAGGCATTAAAAACCCAGGACAGAGTCCAGGCAGGGATTAGAGTTGCTTCTTAGTAAAGCAACTGAGCTCACATGTGAGTGCTGATAATACCTCTTTTTGACCTGGAACTGGAGTCAGAAAAGCAATATTTTCCTGTTACTCCATGAATATACTATTGTTTTGTAAATATTACTATTATTTCCTTAATAGTGTGGAAGCCGTGGTCGGGGATCCGGAGCTGCCAACCTCCACCTCCTGTTGGAACAGGAGTAAAATAAGAAGACACACAGTCTGCTCTGATCCAGCCCATTGCTCCCCCCAGCAGAGACAGAAACCAAGGTTGACCATTGCTTCTGAAGGTGCATGGCTTGTCAGGTTTAATGCCAAAATTCTACCATGTTATCAGTGCCAGGACAGCACTTTTGCAGGACAGCAATAAGGTACATGGGCTTGAGCCTCACAGTGCTCAAGCAGTCTGTTTGGGCTTGACGCCTGGACTGTGCCACGTTTACACCCAGGCAATGATCTGGGTGTTTGGCCTCTGGGCTGAGGGCTTCATCCTGCAAAGCTCGTACCTCCACGCTATGCTTTGTGAGGGCTCTGAGGGCCCCCTCACATCACGAGGAGGTTGCTACTGCACTGACCTGGCACTGCAAAGGGCCAGGCAGACCAGAAGGAACAAAACCACCTGGAAAGTGTAGATGTTGAATACAGATCAGTGCGATCATCCGCCTCATCCTTCGTAGCGGAACTGTGCAGATGTGAGAGCCTGGGATTAACAGGGCCCCGAGCTCCTCACTGAGGGGATTCAAGGATAGGTTTGAGCTGCAATCAATCTGAAGAGGCTCAAGCACAGCTGCCCTTGTGCCCAGTGACCGCATTCCTGCTCTGATCACCAGCTACTTTCCCTTCCCAACAGTCTGCCTCTCTCCTCAGCCTTGCCAAAGCCTCCCCTGTCCAGCCAAGCTGGTGCTCGCCATCGTTTGTTGGATCCTCGTGGGTTACTTACTCAAGTACAGCTGTTAAGAGCAATGGGACAACTGACAGATCTGCAGGAAGCATCGCCAGGATTGCACCTCCAGCTTCACGTGCGCACCATCACTGCTTGGACTTTCTGGTCCCTTCCAGCACAGGGCAGGGTGGGCTTGTTCCCATGCTCTGCCAAGCAGATCTGGTGGGAGGGGGTAAGTTCTTTTCTGCAGCAGCTGTCAATAGTCTTATAGCTTTGTTTTTGTACTGTGCTGATAGCATGATAGCAGGTCAGGCAGTTGACTTTGTCTGATATTGGAAACCTTCCTGTCCTAACCCAGCTGCAATCTATGCCTTTTGGCTGTGTACTGCTATATTTCCATGGCAGTCTGTGCGAGCACAGGTGTTTGAATGAACTTTACCAGTCAGTTCTTCTGTGACCCTTCAAGAAATGGAGAAATACAGCAAGTCTGCTTCTTACCTCCAAGGACTCTCCGGCAATAATGGCTGACTGGATAGAGCAGGTGCAGGACCTCCTGCTTCCTAATTTTGTAACTGACCTAAACTCCAGTTGTTTCACTGCTTATTCAGCAGAGAAAAGAGATATATAGGGATATTTCTCGGTTTTCAGAATGACAGTCTTTTCTCTATCCTTTCATTATGCAAAGAAGATAAAAGTTGGAAGCAATATTTGCGGATGGACAGACCAATAAACCAAGGAAGATAAATACGTTTGCCAGGAAGCCACCTTACTGCTTATACATGGCAAATAGATCTGTGAAATTAAGTGGTGGAGACTTGTGTAGACAGATGAAGAGGCTGCTGGGCAAAATCAGAGGGATAAAGAGATCTTCAGGCCATGTCTGACAGCCTGTTTCTCCTTGTGCTGATGGACTACAGTAACTGCTCCTTGTTAATTAGCGCTCTTTATTGTCATCAGAGGTTCAGGCCAGCCAGAAGGTGTGCTGAAAGCTGACCATCTACAGGAATGGCCACTCTCCAAAGAGAAACCACTGCCTGCTCCTTTAAGAGTTAAACCTGGACCAGCACAGTCCCTATTTTTAGCAGTCCCAACATTCACTAGCAGCCTGTTTTAACTGCAACTTTTTGCAATAATTTTTCCGTCACTGGAGAAATAAGGAATTCCTGTGCTGACCCAAGAGCTGCAGGACATTTGCAGTGTGTCCTGCTTTGCTCGCTGCCTTTTCCAATGTTTCTGTCTCGTTAAAATAGAGCCTGTTAAAACCTTTCCAAAATTTCCAAACAATTAGAACTCCTTGGAAGCTTGGCCTTAGTTATCTTTGAAGAAAGAAGGCTAAATGCAGGCAGTTAGCAATGCCAGCACTGAACAACACAGCAATGCTTGGAGCAGTTTGCCCTCTCATGGCCAGTTGGAGCTTGCTGCTCCTGCCCTTGTACTGAGATAGGAAAATTGGATGGCCCCAGAGCCCAGTTTCATCCATTATGCTCCTCACTTGTCTTGTTATTCCATGTCAAGGATGATCTTTGGTTCATGCCAGAGCACAGCTCTCTCATGGAGCGTGCCCCATGCCACCTCCTGCCACATCACGCTTCCTTTTGGCTTCCTGCAAATATCATGGAGCTGTTCTGTATTTCACAGTCTGGTCACTTGTTTATGGTCTGTCGAGATTCTTGTCTGAGCTGCAAAAGACCTTGAGCTGCTACACTTCACTGAGTGCACCAGGTGAGCATCTGCAGGCTGAAGCACAGTTGGACACAAACCCACTGGAAACATCCACTGCTGTGCTCCTGTTGCAAGATGGCTCCTCCTTTCGGGGACCAGGTCCCTCTCAAATTCCATGCTGCTGGTTTGGCCCCCCTCGTGCCATGCTGTATTGCTAACTGGGGTGAAGAGAACAGGCTGCACTGGCATGGACTGGGAGACATTTCCACCACTCTGTTACAGGGAAGCCTCTGGACACTCATGTTGTCTCCTGCAAACAATCCTATCTTCCAGAAACAAGCAGAGAACCAGGACCAAGTGACTGACCTGGGAGAGAGCACTTCCAATGATCACCTTTCATCAGGGACAAGAACTGGTTTTGGATGGGGAACATTGCAATTCTCTCTGGAAAATGAAACAGGATTAAAAGAACCACGAGGAGAAATGCAACAACGATAGAAAATTATCTTGCTTTTGTCTACATTTTTCATGGTGAAGCAAATGGGAAAGTACAAACTCCTGTCTTCCCCAGTCTTTTTTTTTTTTTTTAAGTACATTGACTTCCTTAGGCTTAGAGTTCAAAATATTTAGAAAGAAAAGGCCCATATCCAGTGCCATCGCAGTAACCACGTGTGAAGCTCAGACTGCTCCTCTCCTTCTTCCTTCTTCCATCTTTCACAAAACTGTTCTGCTGCTTTTCTCTTTCAGTTTTCTGATGCTTTTTTTCCTCCTGATATCTGCAGGAGACTTCCAGGCATGACGTGCACAGCAGCAATGCTCCCTGCACACCCTGGCGACATACAATGTCCCCAGCACTGCTCTCAGGAAGACAAACCTCCAAAATCTGGCCCCTGTTAACTAGCCATTAACACCAGCAACATCCGGAGACTAATTTCTTCATATTTGAATGGCTGGTGTTTACTGTGTTTTGTCTGCTGTGGCAAGCATGGAAAGCCAGGTGATTCTAATGACAGCATGTCTGTTGAAGTCTCTGGTTTGTGGGAGGTTATGATCGTGGACATTTTGGATTTCTTATTTAATTTACTAGATAATGATCACATTTATGTAACAATTTTTTCCAATTTTCTCATTTTCACGAATAGCTTATTTAATGTCCTTCTGCACCACTTTACAGTGAGACATGCAGGAAGGAAAGTCATGCAGGGGAGCAACTTAATACAAACGAACCTGCACCAAGGAAGCATCAGGTTACTCAGGAATGCTGCTAATAGGAAGCCACAGAAAAATAAATAATTTTGCAGGTCCTCCACTGTTGTTCATTCAGTGAAATCCATCACAGGTCATTAGAGGTGTATTGCTGGCATTCAAGAGCTGTGTCTCCCACACCCTGCGTTCCCATACTGCTGGAGCTGCACTGGTTACACCAGATGTCAAAGCTTTTTTCTCTAAGACATCGAGAAATCCGTGCTGACTGTCAAAAGACTGATATGTGGTCTACTTTACCAAGAGAACTGAAATAAATGATGAATGAGATCACAGATTAATTTACCCTAATGCTAATCCATTGTTTGGAAGAGCACAGTGTGTTTCAGCTGATTCTGAAAGAAATTTAATCCCCTGCAACTGAGAAGGAAGTGGGTTTGTAAGACTAAGGAAGGATTGCATCACAGACCAAGAAGAGCTAAGCACTGGTGATTTGGCTGAAGTTCTGGATTTAAATGGAACAGAGGAACTTTAGCCAGTAGATTTCAGCAATGGCAAATAGGGTGAAGGACACCTTGGGTCTCTTGGCTGCTTCTAGGCTGATGTACCAGGTTTTGTATGCTTACCCACATGACAGTAGCAAGATTAATTATCTTGGGTCTTTACAAAGAACAGAGCAAGTTCTCTTGCTGCTGAGCTCCACCTTCTCTGCATAAAAGAGCATATGAAGGGATGACATCCAAACTTCAGGATCTGCCATAGAGAAGGTCACTCACGCGATGGCACAAAGAAGATGCCCAGGAAGCTCTCACATCTTCTCCCTATTTGTCCAGTCTGATAGATGATGAATAAACCCGGTGGCTGTCAAAATCAGAATGGAGAGAATGTGACTTACAGCAGCCTTCTAGTACTTGAAGGGGGCCTACAGAAAAGCTGGGGAGGGATTTTTTACAGGGGTAGGAAGCGACAGGACAAAGCAAAATGGTTTTAAACTGGAAGAGGTTAGGTTTAGACCAGACATTAGAAAGAAATTCTCTGCTGTGAGGGTGGTGAGACACTGGAACAGGTTGGCCAACGAGGTCGTGGGTGCCCCCTCCCTGGAAGCACTCAAGGCCAGGCTGGATGGGGCTGTGAGCCCCATCAGGGAGGTGTCCCTGCTGACAGCAGGGGGTTGGAACTACATGATCTTTAAGGTCCCTTCCAACCCAAACCATTCTGTGATTCTATGATTCCATGACTGAAGGACTGTATGCAAAAGCACTACTTCAAGGGGTAGCACCTTTTCTGAAATCTTACACCTGCCCCTTGAATAAAGTGCAATTCTTCCTCTTCTTTTTGCTTGGTTTCCAAAGGAGATATACAGAATATGTCTGAAGTACATAGGCAAACAGCTGAGCTGTCTTTGTTGGTGTCTCCTTAGGACCCTTCTGGAGAGCTCAAATGAAAAGCCAGGTGCATATTGCAAGGGGATTTGCTTTTCCAAAGATGAATTACTTTGAAATTATGAGATGCGGAGATAGACTACCTTTTCAAGAGCAAGAAACTCTTTGGGGTTGTAAATCAGACCATCAGTCATTCTTGCACCTTTATACAATATAGCTGCTTTTCCTGTAGCAGTTTGCGAATCATTCTTTAAATACTGTGTTAAGTAGCAGCATCAGAGCTGTGTTTCAAAAGCCCTTTATGATGGGCTTTTAAGTTATGTCTTTAGATCCTAGTCATTTTATGCTAACTGCTGACAAGTTATAATTGCCCAATAAACCACTCAGAATAATCTTCATACAGATAATAACTACTTGAGAAGTCACTAAGTGTGACATACGAAAAGCAAAGCCATTTGTCTTTGGGATTTGGCCACTTCAAGTATTACTTTGCTTTTAAACAACAGGTACAAATTCTATGTGTAAAAGATTGATTTTTAACCCCTGGATCACAGTGATAAGTTGAGCAGTTACCTTCAGGGTTTGTTTGGTTGGGGTGGGAATGGCTGGGTAGCAGTTTCCAACTTGATTTACAGGAGTGAGTTGCCCCATTCTTGACGACTTCTGTTGGCAGCTAAGTGCCACATTCGCCTGGATCCTCTGGTGAATCCATGCCTGCTAGCACTTGGCTGCTCACTCCATTTCCACACTCAGGAATATGAAGTACTGACTACAAATTCTGTGATGTAAAGGGGTGACCTAGCTGCATTGCTAATAGACAATGTGGCTGGTGACACTTAGAGGCACCACTGCTACCTTTGGAATCTGCCTGACTGCATGCTTCCAGCAAGGGAAGATCTGGGAGCAATCACTGGCCAGACCACCTAGTTAAAGAATAAATCTTCAAATGCATCAGCCCTGCAGTCACACATCTGCTGTCCAGTGGCAACTTAGGGAAATTCTACAGAATGAGCTTGTTCCAAGCACCCTTAGTCATACTCGTTTTTGGAGGAAATCCAGGAAAAGTTATATTGGAAAGCTGAAAGCTATTAGGATCAGGATAGAAGTTAAGTGACTTGGTATGTGCCCTCAGGCACCAGCTCTCCCAACTTCATGAAAAATAGTATAATCTGATTCTCTCGTTTTGTGCCACTGCAGACCCAATGTGGTGCTTTCTACAAAAGCATTGTGACACGCAGCAATTGCTGTAGCATTTCCATTCATTTCTGTGGATGGAGTGAAAAGGGAAATGACCATGAAAACAGTGAAAATGCTAAGTACAATATTGGCTTCCTTCTCTTAGAAGTCCAGTAAACTGCTGGGCACTAGATTTTTCTGGCTTTTCACCTAGTTCTTAGGTAGCTCACAGTATCAATCATGGATGTCTAAAGAGAAAAAAATGGCATTTGTCCTATCTACCAGTTAAGTCATCACGGTCACAGTTTTCAGGGCAGCTAACTGCTGCCACCAGTGCCTCTAGACATCTTCTCTGCCCCCTGCCTTCCCCTGTGGCTGCCTGGTACAGACTCCTCATGTCCATTGAGCTGTGTCCTTAGGGAATAGGCTCCCTCTGGAGAGGAAAAGTGTTGACATCTTGTCTCAAGGCTTGCAAGGAGACATTGAAGCGTAAGGGAGCAATCTGGGATGTGAGCTGTGCTCTAAGTGGAAGACGCAGGTAATCCAATCTTAAAGACATTGCAACACATGGAAGGTTCACACTCTTTAGAAGCTGGAAGATATCTTGTCTTTTTTTTTTTTTTTTTTAAGGACTAGGCCATGCAGCTTTTGACAAGCAATGAATACCTGCATGCTTAAAGAAGCGGTAGCTCTTTATTTAATCCCAGGGCTGGCATTGTTCAAGTGGCACAAAGTAGCTGGAAAAAGATGAGAGGATCTGCCCTGCTGGTTTTTGTTACTCAAGGTAACTGACAACATGCCCTCTGCACTCACCCACAGACAATGCTCTCCATCCTACCTGGTGAAGTCATTTAGGAGGGACTTGCCAAAGCCACCCTGTAGCTCTTAGGTCTGCTCCTTGCACTGAATCACCTCCCACTGCAGATCACTGGATTCAAGAGATCCCAGGAAGAAGGTGGCTGGGAGAGCTGCTGGGCAAGGGAGGCTTTCTTCTAGAAGGAGCTGCTAATACTAGTCTGCTTGTCAACAGGAAGAAGGGATTCAACCCAGAACAAATTAGTGATAAAACTAGAGAGAATGGCCTGAAGTTGCACCAGCGGAGATTCCAGTTGAATATTAGAACAAATTTCTTCTCTGGAAGAGTAGTCAGGTGCTGGAATGGGCTGTTCAGGGTGGTGTTTGAGTTGCTGACCCTGGAGGTGTTCAAGAAACATTTAGTTGTTGTTTTAAGGCACATGGTTTAGTGGGGAACATTGGTGGTAGGTGGACAGTTGGACTGCATAATCTTCCATGTCTTTTCCAACCTTGGTGGTTCTATGTTTCTATGATTCCAAGTTGGACATTTCAGACACTCTCTTAGGAATGGAAAAAGTTACTGAGAGAAAGGGATGAATGAAGGAGAGCCACTTTAGCCACAACAACTATCCAGTTGTCTTTGTGAAGGCCCCCTCCCATCATCCATGTCACACAAAAGAGATCCAGTGCTTAACAGGAAGCTGGTGAAAGGAGAACAGAGAAATAAGCCGAGGGTGGAAAGCTTAGTTAATCATGCTGATGAAAGATGACAAACCTCAAAGTTGTCTTATTTGCTTTGGAAAATAATGTAGAGCAAGGAAAGAGCAGTGCTGCATCTCAGCCTGCACCTTGGTGGAGTGTTCTGTGGAGGATGGTGGCAAGGTTGAGTGCATTAAGGAAATACCAGAGCACGGTGAGCTCTGTGGGCATTTTTGAAGGCCATGGAGGCCAGAAAGCATTTACCTCTGCTTCACTGAGAGAAATGCTCTCTTGCATCTGGTCAAGGGATGAACCAAGAGGAAGATGTGGCGGCCTGAAGTGTGTGGCAGCTGTTTCCTTTCCCTACGACACGAGTGCATCTAGGGGAAAAAGAGGCTCGTAGACAAGTGTGTGTTCTTAAGTGTGTCTTCAGCAGAAAATTGGGCAACAAGACTAATGATATGTCCTGTGAAGTTCCCAGCACTGATGTGCTCTGGGGAAATGGTAAAAAACAACCCTTCTCTTAGAAGATGTTCGGGAATCAAACTCTTGTTCCTTCCTTTGAAAGGGATGGAAATGGGCAATTTAACCAGAACAAGGAGAGAACCTCCCATAGTGAGGGGATGGGAGCTGAACAGCGGCCATGCAGGTCAGCGCCTCACAGCTGAGGTTCTGGAGGCCGAAAGCCGGCTCCGCTGCTTCAGGAGCTGCCACAAGCCAGTCAGGACCGTCAGCCAACGCTCGATTTACGTGACAGCAGCTTTCTTTCCCTGTGCCGGCTGTGCGTGCCTCTTCATGCCCAGGCTGTGTCACTTCGGCTCGTTTCCTCTGGCTACACCTTGCCTGGCCACCCTCCTCCTGCTGTGAGCTGTGCAGGCCGGGTGCCTGGCCGCGCGCTTCTCTTGCTCTGGTGCGTCACCGCCGCCGGCCCCATGGCAGCTGGGTGGCCCCAACCCAACCACGTAGCAATGCTGATGGCTCTGCGCTGCTCTCACGTAGGTGGGGTGTGACTAACAAAGGTCTGAGAACAAATGAGTAATCTCCCTTTCAATCCCAGCTCTTCTGCCAGTCGTTTTTACAGCAGTCCCTTTGTGTTTCATTGCTCATCTCTTGAAGGCCACCAAGTGGCCCTTTGCGCTTGATTGCCGCCATCAGCCCTGCCATCAGCACTGTCACCACCTTCCTGAGGGTAGACGTGGCTTGTCTGGAGGCAAATGGGAAGCTTGAGATAGGAGCTGATGTTTGACTTGAATCCCTCCAGCCCTGGTAGAGAGCTGTTGAAATTCTGACCGGCCTGATCTCACCTAATCTGGAAAAGCAGTGAGGCATGTGAGCATTTTGCCTTGCTGATTTGCAAATGCAAGTAATTGCCTGATGCCTGAAAATCACTCTTTTTAAGGTGTCCTGATTTGAGAATCTGAAAACAAAAGAATGTAGTCCATTTGAATGGCTTAGCTAGTCACTTAAATCTTCCAGAAGTGAAGGCCAAGCTGTGCAGCTCTTTTGGGAAACAAAGGAATGGAAATGTAAATAATGGAAATGGAAATGGGAAGGAAGGGAAAGGGGAAAGGAGGAAAGGGGAGGAAAGGCAAAGGGGAAGTGGAAGGGGAAGTGGAAAGGGAAGGGTGAGGAAGGTTGGGGAAAGGAAGGATGGAGAGGGGAAGGGGAAGG